TATTTCCTATGGCACTTTTATCATATATATCACTTTCCCTATATATCACCTTTGATATGTATTATTTATCTACATGTTCCCAGGCTGGATTGTACATTCAATGAAAGCATGTGAATAAGTGCTCAATCTGCATCTTCTGGAACAGGGTCTGGGACACAGTAGATGCTCAATAAATATTTATGGAAGGAGGGCAAGGAGGGAGAGGGGAAAGAAGGAAGTTTTCTTTTATGATCCAGCAGACAGTGTCCACCCTCCTTCTTGCGGTCAGCTGAGACCTCCTGGAGGAGAGCTCTAAGCAAACCCTCTCTTGCTCTTCCATCTCCTATAGCTCTTGCTCCCTGCTGAGGCGAGCACAAGTGCTGCAGCCTGGCTCATCCAGTCCTGCACAGACTGGGAGGAGGCAGCCTCCTGCCTCATCTCCTTCCTCTGCACGTACCTGTCCTCAAGTCATGTTCCTGGGGTCTTGGCTGAAGTTCAAAGCTCCCTCTAGCTGCCCTCTCTTGCCAGGGCCACAAGAGCCTGTGAAAATGGTGCTTGAATCCTAACTGCTCCATACTGGCCGTGTGATCTCAAAGTAGGCTGCTTCACACCTCTGTCCCTCTGGCTCCTCACAAATCTAGTAAAGGAGATGAGGGTTCTCCTCGTGGGGCTGTGGTGGGGAGTGAAGGAGATCTGGCTTGGGATCTTCTTGGCTTGGTGCCCAGCACCCTGTAACCCTGCCATGAACTGGGAGGAATTAGGCAATGCTAATATTCTGGGCTGAATCCTCCCTGTGGATGACATGGTTGGGGTGGGAAAAGTCTTGTGTAGTGCAGGATGTTGTGAGCTCYATGCCTGGCCTCTTCCTGCTGGATGCTGTGACAACTAAAATGCTTCAGACATTGCCAAAAGTGCCCTGGGTAGGGTCACCATATATATATATATATATATTATCTGGTGACCCAACTTTGCGGGAAGGACAAAACTACTGCCCTGGTTCATGAAGAAAGACTGGGTTGGAGTCAAACCATGGAGTTCCCTTGGAAACAGCAAGTACCCCCAGCCTTCCTGGCCTGCCTCCAGCACCCCATCCTGGGCTGGGAGGATCACTTCCCCAAACACACTCTGCTGGGCAGCTGTGCAGATGGCTCTGCAGTGACATGCCTCCCAACAGCCCCAGTTTACAGATGTAAAAACACCTTCCCCTGTAGGCCCTGCCTCATCTCCCTGCCTCCTCCCTGGCTCTCATCTGCCACCCACAAGCCCCTGCCTTCTCCTTTCCAATTAAGAGGCCTCCCAGCCCAGCCAGAGGCAGGAAAACAAGGCAGTTAGTCACTTGGCTTCCGTTATCAACTGGCATCACATGGCTGCTTCCTTTAATGGCAGTTGTCGAGGCAACGGGAAGCCAGTCCCTGCTCACTCTGAGAAACAAAACAAAATTAAGGGGTGTCAGGGAGACAAGCTAGCCAGGTAGGAGCCATGACAGAGCTGGTGAGACTTAACCAGGGGAAATCATGCTGAGGCCACCTGTCTCCAGCTTTGCCTTGGTGGCACATGGGGAAGAGAGACAAGCAATAACCCTGCCCTGGAGAAGCTCAGGTGAACACGGTGGGTGTTTTCACCTGGTTGATCCTGCCAGGTGAGTAATTTTCATTCCCACTGTGAATAAACCCAAACTCTGACACTGAAGATAGAGATAGGTGCTTATCTAAGATGGTCCGACTAAGGAGCCACCAATCTCAGCCCCCCTTCCTTCCCTCCATAATCCCAGAATCCTTCTCCCCATTCTTTCCCCTTTGCTCTTMGACTAAGACCACACACCCTGTTTCTTCTGCAGCCTACACAGTTCTCCTTCCTCTCTGCTCCAGCTACTTCACTTCCTTCAAATTCACCATGCACCATCCAGCAACAAAGCCTCCAGCACCTACAGAATGGATTTCCCTCTCCTCCAGCTACTTCACACCTCCACCTAAAAGGCCTACTCAGCTTTCATGTATCTTCTTGTACATCACATCCTCAGGGAAGCTGTCCCTGATGTCCTGGTCATCTCTCTCTCTCTCTCTCTCTCTCTCTCTCTGTTGGTGATAGAACCCAAGGTCTCCTGCATGCCAGGCAAGTGCTCTACCTCTAAGCTACACCGCTATCTGCACCCGACCCCCCCTGCCCAATCTGATGCTTTGTTGGTGCCCAGTGCCTTCTGTAATGATCCTCATAATTATTCTTGAGAATCTTCCAGGGTCTGTCTCTTCCAGGAGAATGCCAGCCCCAGGAGGGCAGAGGTTGAGTCTGTCTGCTTCACTGCTGTGTTTATGAAACCAAGCTCATGTTGAATCCTCATTAAAAAAAAAAAAAAAAAAAAAAAAAAAAACATTTAAAAAGCCTCCAGGACTTGAACCCAGTTTTGGTTGAGCCCAATGTACCTTCTTGACCAGTTTCATTGGTCCTGGGTCCTGATGGTTTCTCAGGTCAGCACTGAACAGATTTTCCAGCCTCATAGACTGTGCCAGGCCCTTAGTGGCTGCAGAGGCTCAGCTCAAGCTTGCAAGCTACCCAGCTTATCTAGGGAAGCTGATAAGATACACCTTCCAAAAAGAAGGGTGAGGCTGTGCTGTAACAGTCAAGGACATGGCTCCTCTGAACCCAAGAGGGAGAGGAAAGATGATTCGGCACTCAGATTTCTAAACAAGAGCTTTGACGTCCAACCCACTAAAGACTGGCTCTCTGACACTGGAAGAAATGTTCCTTGCCAAGGAGGTGAGCAATGGAAGGAAAGAATGTAGGAGGTTTGCTTTGGGGACACAGATTCATTCATTCTTACTTATTTATTTATTTTAGCAATCTCTTAGGGGAACCCATACTCTAAAGAGAGCTCAAAGACAGCAAATTTGAACCAGTTCCCCTCCAGTGGATCTGTGTCCTTGAAACATGGCTTACCCTCTCCAGGTCACAGGATTCCCATTTATACATTGAAAACTATGTCCCCCTCATATTCCAAGGTTGTGGCACCATGTAGGTGTCGATGGAAGCATTTATGGTATGGGGGTGGGTAAGAGCTTGGCTCTGATGTCAGACAGATCTCGGCGGTAAGTCCTGAATCTGCCCCTTCTTCGCTGGATGCTCTTGGGCAAGTCATTCCTCCCTTCGAGGCTCAGTTGATTGTGTGTGAAGTGGACTCAACCTACCTACCTCATTAGCCTATGGTATACTCAGAGCATGGCACGTACTGTCTACTGGTAAATGGAAACCCTTATTTCTAGAATGAGGGCCCCCAGCAATGCAGAATTTAGAAAGCACCACCAATTTGMAACTGTGATTCCAGATCTGGAGTTCAACAGATCTGGACAACCTAGCGAGTTGCACCAAGCAGGATGAGGAGCAGTCCCTCTGAGCAGGAGCTGGCCTCAGCCTATAGCCACACAGAAGGCTCATTCCAACTCCAAACCTGTATGACCCCAGGACAGAAGCCCAGATCTCTGGCCACTTGGGGCAATGCATGCCCCACAACCTGCCCTCTAAACCATGCTACACTGACAAGGATTAGACTGGGACATCAGGACAAATGCCTCCTTCTGCATACAAGAAAGAGTCCTAGAGAAGGGAAGGGACTTGGGCAGGGTTCTGAGGGAGCTGGTGACAGATCTGGGACCAGAACCTGAGCCCTCCCAGATGCTTTGCTGACACTCTCTTGACTGCCATTTTTCAATTCTGCCCTCCTCAATTGGACCAACCTGGCATTTCCTTACAAACCAGGACTGAACAGAAAACCTCTGGGCTTTCTGAGGGATCCCAGATATCTTGCACATATCCTTATTCAAAAACACTAGAATGCGCAACCAGCCCTGGAGCTGATTCTTAAAAAAAAAGAAAAAGAAAAATACACACCCAACGCTTGTGTGCACAACCATGCTACCCCTAAGCTGGGGACAGCAACAGGTCCCAGCCTCCAGGCTGCAGTAGAGGGCTGCCTGCTTTCTCATGGGGAGGGGCTCCTCAGTGGTGCTCAGTGCTGCCACCCCTAATAAACACACACGTACATGTACACCCACCCCTAATAAACACACGCGTACATGTACACCCACTCCCATGCACACACAAGGACCAGGCTGGCCCACAAGGTCTACAGCCATGCAAGATCTTGAGCTGGCACCTCACAAGATGCAAACATGGCTGCAAAGGGGTGCCAGGCTAAGTGATGGGGGGCAGGTGGTGAAAAGAGGAGGGCAATACACACACCACACAAACACACACACACACAATCACATCCTTATTATTTACTCATACTTAGCATCACACAGACTCACAAAAACAGTTCACACACACAGATACACATACATACAATGCCTAGAAATACGTTTGGACATCTTCAGACAGATGCACATACAGGAGGTGGCTGGCTATAAATCCAGAGGCTGGGCTAACTGGGCTAACTGGCCCAGGGCAGAGGGAGAACTGAGGCCTGTCTGTCAGTGAGGAGATAGGGATGAGGAGACCCTGCCTGCCAAGGGAGCAGTCCACAGACACTGACCTGGGACCATCATGGAGGGGCCTCCCAGCTCCTGGAAGTGGCTCCAAAAACTGGGAACATGGGGGTGCAGTTTGTTTTGTTTTCAAACTGTATCTCTCCCCTTTGCTGAAGGCTGGGCCCCTTTTGGCAGCCCGATTTATTATAGTCCCCTGCCCCAACAGGCCTGCCTGTCCCAGGGAGCTTGTCTCTCCTATATGATCTCCTCACTGGGACCCACACACCTGTTCCTCCATAGGACAGGGTCTCGCCAGGCACCTCAAGGTATGGCACCCACCCCTACACACAGCTCAAACACGCCAGAGGTACCCCCACACCTCCAGCCCTGCAACCCCCAAACTCACAGGCCACACCTACAGGCCTGTGGAGGTAGATGCAACCCCGATGAGCCCGCCTCCAACGTCGGCGGCCCCCGCCACCAAGGAGCATCCTTCCAGGAGCCGCTGTCCCCCCACTCCCCAGGCGGCTGCGCCCTCCCGCAGGGGCGCCGGGCACCTACCTCCTTCTTCACGGTGCGCAGCAGCTTCTGCCGGGTCTCCGCCCCTGGGGGACAAGCCGGAGGGCGCGGGTGAGCACGCGGTGGGAGAGACCGGGGCTGTCCTCCCTCCCGCCTGCGCCCACCTTACCCGCGGGGGCCGCAGCCATGGCTCGCGCAGCGTCCTCTAGGCTCAGGTCCTGTCGCAGGCGGCGGCGGCGGGGAAGGCGGCGGCGGTGGCGGCAGCRGCTCCGCGGCTAGGTGCGCTGCTGCAGCTGCGCGGGGCGGGGCGAACGACAAAGACCGCCCAGGTCGTGACGTCATGGCGCGCGGCCCCGCCCTCTGGAACACACCCTCTGAAAGGCCCGAGGCAGGGGCTGGGGATGTGGCTCAAGCGGTAGCGCGCTCGCCTGGCATGCGTGCGGCCCGGGTTCGATCCTCAGCACCACATACCAACAAAGATGTTGTGTCTGCCGAGAACTAGAAAATAAATATTAAAAAAAATTAAAAAAAAAAAAAAAAAGAATGGCCCGAGGCAGGCAGGAGGGTGCGCGGAGCCAACCAGCCCTGGCCCGCCCCGTCCCGCCCCATGCCCAAAGCCACCATCCACCTGCTGCGGCAAGCATCCTTCATGGAATGTCTGATGGGTGCTGGCTGGGCGCGAGCAAGTTGTGTAGAGATGGTGGGGCTGCCACTGCCATTTTCTGAGCCTGTATCTGCATTCTCTCTCTTAAAAAAATTTTTTTTTTCATTTTTTATAAACACATATAAAGAAAACTTTCATTGAATCAGGAGATATAATACAAATTATGGTGACCTTCAAATGAAACCTGGCTCCAAACATGGGCATTTGGGAATGTGCATATATAAAAATGTGCATTAATATCTGTACCAGAGCATGGTACAGAAGTTAACGGATAGCCCCAACATGAGTGATTTGCACAGGTGGGTCTGCTCTATGGACTCGGGAAGTTCTTGGTTCTCCAGCTTCAGGGGTGAGCACGACGTGAACATGGCCTGCTCTGAAAAGGAGCCGGAAGATCTTGTACTTGAAGATCTTGTGGGCTGGGGTTGTGGCTCAGAGGTGGAGCACTTGCTTAGCATGCGTGAGGCACTGGGTTCCATCCTCAGCATAAAAATAAAGGTATTGTGTCCACCTACAACCAAAATAAATAAACTTTTAATTAAAAAAAAGATCTTGTATTTGAACCCTCATGAACACTAAAATGTCAAAGTGTGGCAAAAGCCAAAAATGGTGCTGGGGGGCTGGGGTCCTGGCTCAGTGGTAGAGCACTTGTCTAGCATGTGTGAGGCACTGGGTTTGATTCTCAGCACCACATATAAATAAATAAAAATAAAGAGCCATTGATAATTAAACAATATTAAAAGAAATGGTGCTGGGAAGAGAGGCGGGAGAAAGGTCATTCTTATTTCCTAACTACAGTTTTAAGGAATTCTATATCAAGACTTAACATAATGCTTGAAACGTGGCAAATGCTAAACTGCATTCTTAAAATGGGCAAAAATGGGGTTTGTATTCTGAAATAGGGTGGTCAGTGGAGGTGGGCCCAGAGGTAGAGCAGTTTGAGTAAAAAAACCAGCAAGCACAAAGGCCCTGAGGTATGAGTGTGCCCTCTGAGAGTGTGACAAAGAGAGAGTAGACCCACTGGCCTGGAGTGGCATGAGCAAGGGGAACCATAGTGGGATGTGCACAACAGGGCTGGCGGCCAAGATCCTCTTAGGGCCTGAAGGCTGCTTTCAACATTCATGGGAGCCTAGAGATCTTGGAAATGGGATAAAACCAAGATAGGTCCAAAGGCCAGAAAGGGGGGACCCTTGAGAATATTCGCCTGGCAAGGGCAGTGTAGTTGTGAATTACCATTCAGGTAAACAGCACCGTCTCTTTAAGATCCACATTTTCTGACTTGGGACAYGTGCCTATTAAGCTAGAAGAGGGGATTCCCCACTGTCAGAGATGAAGTGCTGAGTCCACAGGAGACTGGAGAATGGGAGATGCTTGCTTGACAGCAGAAAATAAATGATGCTATGGTTCTGACCTGCAGTGTCCCCCAAGCTCATGTGTGGAAAGGGTGGTCCCCAATGCAGCAAGGTTCAGAGATGGGGCTCTTAGGCAGGGATCAGATCGTGAGGACTCTGACCTCACCACTGACTTAATCCATTGATAAGTGGATGCCCTGCTGGGAGACGGATGTAGTTGGAGGAAGTAGGTCACTGGTCACCTGCCCTGGAAGGCTTTATCCTGTCTTTGGACACTTCCTCTTTCTCTCACTTTGCTTCCTGGCTGCCTTGAGTTGACCAGGCTGACCATGAACTGAATCCTCTGAAAATCATCAGACAAAATAAAACCTTCCTCCTCTAAGTTGTTTGTGTCGAGTATTTTGGTCACAGCTCCAAAAAGCTAACACAAATAATAATGGTAATAAGTATAAAATTACCATAGATTGAGGACCTGGTATGTTCTGGGCACTGTGCTGAGGTCCTTGGGCTTTGGTTGCATGACCCTATTGAGCCCACTCCCACTTGTCCTTATGTCATAAATGAAGAAAACCAAGAAAGGGGTTTTCCAAATGCATACAGCGAGCAAGCAGCAGCTCAAATTCTGACCTCAGGCTCCWGTGGTGGATCTTGCTTAGCTGCACCCCTAAGTCAACTGGGGTACTTTAGAATAGAAGGATGCCTACGCCTTACTCTAGGAGCCACTTTTCACAACCCATGCTTTTCCTTTTGTGCCAAGCAGGGGCTCTTGAAAACTGGCTTGTGCTGGTCCTTCCTTGATATTCTAGAAATTTTCCTCCAAGATAAAGACCTGATGTGTTTCAGCTCTTCCACCATAGGAAGGTGGGGCATGAGTGGGGCCAGGGACTGCCAAGTTCTGAACTCGGAGCCAGTGCCTCCCACTACAGTTGGACCATACACTAGGAGTGCACCATCACCTAAGATCAGCTTGGAAAGTGTTGTGAAATTTTCCTGGAGACCAAAGCCTTCCTCAGGATCTGAAGATCTCCTCACCTGATCCACGCTGCCCTCACATGGACTCATCCCAGCATCACAGAGCAATGGTGAGTAGCTTAACCACAAGAGGCCTCTGCTTCCTGCAGTGTCCCTTCAGCGCCCTCTACTGAGGAAGCCCACATCGTGCACCGTGTAAATGGGAAATGGTGTAAAAKCCAGGCTATGGTGGAGGAGCAAACACTGAAGGAAGGAAGGAAATAAGATCAGAGCCAACATTAATGAACTTGAGAATAAAAAATAACAACCAAAGGATCAATGAAACAGTGTTTCTTTGAAAAGGTAAACAAGGTTGATAAGCCCCCATGCTAACATAACCAAGAGAAAAGGGGAGAAAAGCCAAGTTTATAAAATTAGAGATTAAATAGGTAAAATCACCATAGATATCACAGAAATCCAGAAGATCATTAGAGACTATTTTGAAAACTTGTACTCCAATACATTGGAAAACCTGGAAGAAATGAATACATAGCTAGATAAATAGGATCTACCAAAACTGTAGAAAAAGGAAACCTAAACAAACCAATAACATGTAATAAGATGGAAGGCTTTTCATTATTGTCTCTAACAAAGAAAAACYCAGGGCTGGATGGACTCCCAGCTGAGGTCCACCAAAAACCTTTAAAGAAGAAGTGATGCCAAAATTCTTCAAAATACTCCATGAAATTTATAAAATTTATAAAGCCAGTATTGCACACATACCAAAACCAAATAAGGACACATCAAGGAAAAAACCTACACACCAACATCCCCAAAGAACTTAGATGCACAAATATGGGATGTATGTTTTCTCTCATATGTGGGAGATAGAGAAGAAAAAGGGAAAAATAGGTGGGGTGGATCTCATGGAAATCAAAGAAAGAACAGTAGAGAAAAGGGACCAAGGGGTAGGAGGGCCAAGGTACTGTGGAGTGATATTGGCCAAAGTATATTGTTATATTGCATGCATGGATGACTATGTAACATTTTGATCCTAACCACAAGCCTGGAGTGGGACAGCTGTTTAAATCATAGGTGTCAGGATTGACACAGAACTGCTGTTATGGGGGGTGCCAATCAGCCTACCCTTTAAGAAGAAATGATGGCCCAAAAGTATTTGTGTGATGAAATCCCAGGAGACACTAAAAGGGACACCAATATTAGTCTTTACCAAGTGGCAGCCTTCTGGGGCAGGCAATGTGGCTCTCTGAATTTAAATGTCCTGGTAGAAATGGGAAGAGAGAGAAGTCAAGCTAACTGAGAGTTGGAAATCCTCAAGGTAATGACCCAAAGGGCTGCTCCTAGGCACTGCATCCCACCTCTCTTTTGGTAGCAGTTATGAAGGTTTTATTTTTTACTCACAGAAATTATAAAATAGGTAGGGAATAAACATCTTAGTATGTGACCAAGGAGACCTGATGGGTATTTAGAAAGCCAGCTTCATGTATCACTCTTACAAGACTGCCAGACAGTCCAGTCCAKGAACATACCTCTCCTTGTCCCCTCTAATCCAGAGGGGTGCGTTGTCAGTTCCACGGGGTAGCCAGCAACCTCCACATCTCAGTGGCTACGAGAACAAGCATTCATGACTTTGCAGGTGGGTTTTGACTTTCCCTTGGTCTTGGCTAACCTTGGTCCAGGCTTTTGGTTGGGTTTAGATTCCCTGCTGTGGGTCTCCTTTCAGGATCCAACAGAGCCATGTTCTTCTCATGGCAAATGACAGAACCACAAAAGGAAGAGCGTGGCATGGAAGGCCAGGTCTGGCACATGCTCCTATCAAGTCCTCCACCATATTCTATTGGTCTGAGCAAGTCTGAAGGCCATGACTTAAATCAGTAAGGTGGAGATGTACCCTCTGTCTGTTCTTTTGGGAGACACCTCAGTGTCACATGGTTCAGAAAGAAACAGTAGAACTGGGCTGGGGATGTGGCTCAAGCGGTAGTGCGCTCGCCTGGCATGCGTGCGGCCTGGGTTCGATCCTCAGCACCACATACAAATAAAGATGTTGTGTCCGCCGAAAACTAAAAAATAAATATTAAAAAAAAGAAACACTAGAACAATAGTTCTATCCATCCCAAATGACTGACATCCCGCTGCTGCTCTCTCTGCAATACAACACTATTGCATGTGGTTGTCGATGGAACCTGCCTGGGCCTATGCTTCTCAGCTTACATGGGGCTACATTGTAATAAACCCATCAGAAAATACTGAAAGTCAAAC